CCACGGTGAACGGAGAATCCGAAAAAAGCAAACATTCTTAATGAATTGAAGTAAACAGGCTGCGTTTAACAACAACAAAACTATATAAAAACATTTGTTTACAAACTCTCAGTATAACCATGTCTCCTTTATCCAGTTGTATGCTCAATACTTCTTTAATACATGCATTTTTGTGAAAACATTACAATTTAAGACGTGTCCATACAAACAGTCTTATGCACAGCTGAGTAGCGTGCCTGGGCACATGTGAAATCTGCTGGCTTTAGGTGTGTAACTGGAAGGCGGAGGTGTTTTATATTTTAACAATTTAGTGAAAATACATCTGTTTGGGAAGTACTGAGCATATGACTGGAAAAATGAGACATGAGACATTTGCCGTTGTTTAAAGCGACGGCCTATGACTTCAATTCAGTATGTTGGAGGAATGTGAGACAAATAAAGTTTTCTTCACAAAATCAAAGTAACACACAGTGAGTAATTAATCATGGTCATTTTGTGTATGAAATATTTTTCTAATTACACAATGTACAATCTATCCTGATGTACAACCACAAAGGTTTATAAAATGGGAAAGAAGTGGATGTTTTAGGGGCGTCGGTGGCTTAGTGGTAGAGCAGGCGCCCCATGTACAAGGCTGTTGCCGCAGCGGCCCGGGTTCGACTCCAGCCTGCAGCCCTTTGCTGCATGTCACTCCCTCTCTCTCTCCCCCTTTCACACTTGTCTGTCCTATCCATTAAAGGCTAAAAATGCCCCCAAAAAATATCTTGAAAAAAAAGAAGTGGATGTTTTAACACTTATTTATCATAGGAGCAATCTACTATTATAACAAATACAAGTAATACACACAGTATATGAAATATATTCATACATTGACATGAGAAATATAACGTTGAAGAGGACAATACTTACTGTAATGTAAAATAAAATAAAAAGCAAATAGACTTTTAAGGGAAAAACCCTGGAATAGAGCTTAAGCTAATATTTATGTAACATTGCAGATTGTTCACATAATAATTTAAGTATCATGGTGTTAAGTCTGCCTAAAGGTGTATTTTCCTTTACGACCACTACAGACACACTACAGACACTAAAGACATTTTTGTGTCTGTAAAAAGATCCTCAGTTGTATGTTTTCCATTTGCAGTTGCCCAAGAAGCAGAATGAAGAGCAGCAGGAAGAGTGAGAGCAGGAATCCAAAAACCAAATCTCCTTCTCTACTTCTCATTTATCTGCTTGCACTCTTTTGAAAATGAGACATATATATACCTATCTGATAAGTGCCTGTGTGAGTATTAGTTATCCTGCAGTTTTTATTTTGATGAGTTTCACTATATAATTCTAAGTAAGTAATTTGGTTCATTAATTCATATTCTGCTTTATTTCAGGATTTGTTTCAAGTGTTTGTTTGTCTAACATTTAGCCTTAACAGATAAATTATACAATGAATTTTATTTACGCTGAATTTGATTTGATTCCTGATTTCTTTTTTGTTACTGTACAAGTCGTGTCATGGCTCATTAGGACCATTGAGAACATCAAACACAGACACATGACTTTGTCGGTGTGCATTAGTCTAACTTAATCTTTACCTTGTTACTTCAGCCAAGGACATTTCGTTTTCACCCCTGTTTGCATGTTCTTTCAGGGTCCTTCACAGTGTTCCTGTTGGTTTCTGCATCTTTATGTAACCTGAAGCACTTTGATAGATTATTTTGTTTAAAAAAGGGCTTGAGGAACAGATTTGATAAATTTATGCATCTTTGACCATGAAAAAAAAAAACTGTATAATTGAACATTTGTCTTTTTATACTGTTGAACATTTGTCTTTAATACTCTTCAGTAATATTTTGATTTTTAAAATCATAACTATAGAAGTATATACATGGTGTTACGATGAGATGGCTTTTGAAGCAGTGTCTCCTGTCCACTCTTCTTTTAAATAGTATGAAAAATGTTGTGTGCTGCTCCTCTGAATAGGATTTAAGATTGATAAGATGTATTTTGTGTTTAACATAGGGTCCACTTTAGCAATACATATACATTAGGCAACCTCGTGCCACAGGTGGTTGAGTCCTTTTAACTAAAGATGACGCACGAACATTTTCCTGATTAACATCTGATCATCAGGCTCAACCAGTGAGGAGCAAATAGTGAGTGATATCTCCTGGTGTGGTGTTTGGTTGGACTGTAAACGCTCACGGCACACGGCTGACTATTCCTGTTTAAGAACAACTGTGTTGATGCTCCTTGTCTTGCGGCTATTAAATGTTTAATGAGGAGATTCAATGGCTTCAGTTTGAATTCTATCAGTGTGGTTCAGTACCTCTTAATACATTGAGCTCACCACAGCTTACTGTACCAAAACTCTGCATAGAAGGCTAAAATATCATTTTTAAACATTCTGTTAAATCTGGTGTCCTTTATGAGGGGTGATTAGTGCCACAGAGGTGCTTTTTCAATGTATTTTATGTGGCAATAGGCACTTTTTTTTCAGTCACACTAGTACCGAGCATAGATTTGTTGTGTTATTACATCTTTAAATAACTCAATGTAAAGATGATTGAAAGAAAACTGAATCTTAATGAACCATAAATCAGACATAAAAAGCCCCATTAAATGTTTTGGACCACAAAGTTGTTTTTCTGTCACTGCCAATGTCAAATAGTGAATGAGGAATGATTTTGCATATTAACAGGGTCCCCAATGTCATGGAAAACCTGGAAAAGTCATGGGATTTCACAATAACATTTTCCAGCCCTGGAGAAGTCATGGAATTAGCAAAAATCATTGAAAGTTTTTGAGAAGTGAAGGAATCTTGTTCTGTGTAATGAAATTGTTACAGTAATCTTTTGGTGGATAACCTTCCACATTATGTATTATAACCTCAAATGTATTCCCTGTAGCTGTCGACGTACTGTAGCTCTAATACACGTCGATGTGCAACAATATTTTGTTTACTGTCTTGTATGTTTCTTAATTTTCTTCCAGTGATCTGTCTCCTCCTTCGTGTACGCTAGAGAGCTGAATTTTGAATATAGAGTTTGTATGATATGTATAAAAAATGCCAGGCAAGTTTGGCAAGATTTATTATGGGCCCTTGAAAAGTCATGGAAAAGTTTTGAAGTTTTGCGCATGAAAATGTGCAGGAGCCCTGTAATAACGATAACAGTACAAATGTTACATCCAAACAGCCCAAAGTGAACAGTCTACACTGATGTAAAGTCTTGAGAAAAGTATGAGAGGAAATACAGTCAAGTCTTTTAAAGGGACAGTTTACCCTCAAATTAAAAACACATATTTTCTCTTACCTGTAATGCCATTTATCAGTCTAGTTTGTTTTGGTGTGAGTTGTTGAGTGTGGAGTCAGTTGCACAAAACACCTTAATTTTTCTCCTTAAGTATGACACTTATAACCTAATTTTTTCTCAGCTGAGGGACTTACTTAGGGGTGTTGCACAAAATCCTTTAGACTTCCTTAGTCAAGTAAAAAACACAACACTTTTTTTTTCATCCTGCTGTGGTTGCTAAGGTCTTTTGTGTAACTGTCTAAGGATTCCTTAAGTATAAAACCAACACAGGGAGAAAACCATAAATACTTAGGTGAACATTTAAGGAAACCTTAAGGATATTTTATTATAAGTAAACCTTAATTAAGACTTTAAGGAAAATCTGTCCCGAAATCATGACCCAGTTACTCAAGGCCTTGTGTGAGCAGTATAATTCCATAACCTATATGTTATCCACTGGAGTTTGGCACAATATGAAATGAAAAAAGTCCTTGTAACGGAGCCAGGAGGGACCAAGCAGCTGCAGGTGCCTGCCAGTTATCTGCGTTCTGCTGATAACCCCTTTTCCACCAAATGAGCTCTGGAGTCAGTAGCATAAAACACCTCAAGTTTTCTCCTTGAGTATGACACTTAAGACTGAAGGGCCAGTTGCAGTTCTCTTCCCTTAACCTTACCCCTTGGTTTCAAGTGCACTCGCCAGATAGATTCCCCTCAGCAACGAAGGATTAGTGTTGAGTGGTAGGGAATTTTATCTACAAATTGGGACGCCACTTCATGCAAATTAGCATAACAGACGTGTTCACCTACGTCACACGTATCGTCAGCGTAGGCTTCTTGCACTCATTTCCAAAATGCTGGCTCCAGTGGTTGTATTGCCTATTTTGTTGGCTGTCTTCATCCTTCTTCATTTCACAAATCAACGGAGAAAAAACGCAGCAAATAGAAGACGCCTTCGCTGCCTTCTTCTCCTGCCATCTTCGCCTGCCATCTTCCTGGAAAACTCGCCTGGCTGGAGAGTTTCGCAATGCATCCTGGGAAATTCAAATCAGTTGATATGGGTTCGTAAGTGTGCATCGCACGGCCCTTCAAATTAAGTGGGGATTTTAAGGGCTGAAAAGCACTTCCCTAAAATTTGGGACACCCAAGCCCTTCGCGGGACAGTGCAAAAACAAGGGCTAGGGCCAATTCTGAGGGGAAGTGTGAGTCTTGGGATGGACCCCAAGTTGAGGGACTTAGGGGGACTTAAGGGTGTTGCACAGAATCCTTTAAAATGTCTTAGTCGCATAAAAAACTTCCCAGGGTGTTATTTTTTTCATTTATCACCATAAATACACCTTAAGTGTTTTTTCATCCTGCTGTGGTTGCTAAGGTCTTTTGTGCAATTGTCTAGGGATTCCTTAAGTATAGGACCAAGACAAGGAGAAAGCCAAAAATACTTAAGTGAACATTTAAGGAAACCTTAAGGAGATTTTATTATGACTAAACCTTAGTTAAGACTTTAAGGAAAATCTTAACTTAAGGTGTTTTGTGTTAAGGATGATAATGCCTGTATCTGAAGTTCCACACATGTAGGGCTTTAACAGTGGCACTAATCACCCTCCATATTTAGAGGCTGTTTCGCACGTTCCCACAGAGCGGCGCGCTTTGAATGAACGCCGGGAGAAGCCGGCGACAGAGAGGGGCGGGCTTACACCTTTCAGTGGGAATCCTCGGTTCAAAAACCTGCCAACGTCCCCTTTTGAAAGTGTGTAGTCCTGTTTCTGCTTTCAGTGCCACTCAAGAGACGACAGAAGAGGACCGAAATATGCTCTCCAGACACGGAACTCGGGCTTATTTCCGTTAACTTACAGGAGGTTTGTGATTTTGACTGCGCTGAAGTTTGAAACAAACTAAAGGAAAAGACACAAAACAGCAACAAGTCGTGCAGGTGGTAGAGCACACGCTGACCGGAGGAACCAGACCACATCAAGACTCACCACCCAGACCTTCCAGTCTCACCTGAACCCGACGAGAAAGACTAAACATGTCCGTGGAGAGTTACTCGGCGCTGGACGAGTCCTCCCTCCGAGCCCTGGTGAGTACATGCATGGAGATGCTCTGAACTGGAGTTACATGCTGCCATGGGAAGTGGACCACTGTGAGTTAAACTGCTACCTGCCTGGTGTCATTAAAGACTTTAATATTAATATGTCATTCAGCAGTCTTTATCTACAGTTTGCATACATCATATGAAGTTGTATCAATGTGGTCAGTTCCTGTATATGGAGAAGTAATGTAGGTTTTATGTCTCATTATGCTGCTGTATGTCTGGTACTGTTACTGTAGTGCAACATAACACCTTGATTAACATGTTGAACCATTATACTGTCACATAATTTAACATCCTACATGCACTGTTTTTGCCAGTGTGTCTTTTTGAGAACTCATACATCTCAGACAGGTGGTTTGCACACTAGGGCTGTAACTAAGGGATGATTTGATTGTCCATTAATCTGTTATTTTCTTGATTAATCAATGAGTTTTTGGTCTAAAAAATGTCAGAAAATGGTGAAAAATGTCCAGCAGTGTCTCCCAAAACTCAGAATGATGTCGTCAAATGTATTGTTTTGTCAACCCACCCCAAAGATACTCAGTTTACAGTCATAGAGGAATAAATGAACCAGAAAATAGTAGCAGTAGTACCATTTTTTCCCCTTAAAAATTACTCCGACAGATGAATCGATTTTTAAATTAGTTGGCAGTTCATTTAGCCTAATAGTAGACAACTCATGGATTAATCGTTGCAGCTTCTAGTGCACACATGCAGTGCTTCTTGTTGCTCTGTGTCATAACTCTTAATTCTTTCCATCACTTTTATATCATTTTGACTCTTGATTGGACAAAACAAGACATATGAAGAGGTCACCTTGAATTTAAGGACTTTTAATAGCCATTATGTCACCACTACTTTGGCATTTTTAGAGTAAACAATCAATGAATTATGAAAATAACATTAAGGGAATGAAAATAAGTCAGGTAAATGGTGAATTTCAGTATGTTATCATTGCAGCTGTCGGTCAAATAGAAACTTGTTTGATGTTTTTGTGAGGTAAACTTGTTTTAAAACCCGAAGCTGGTCGATCATTAATCAAGTTGCCAAGAATTTTGATAATCGCTTAACCATTAAGTCATTTATAAAGCAAAAATGCTCAATGCTCACTTGTTCGGACTTGTCAAATGTAAAGATTTGTTGTTTTATATCATTTAAATCAATTTAAAATCTCTGCGTCTGGTTTGGTGATGGGAAAAGAATCAAGAAATTTGATGATGTCACCTTGGTCCCAGACACTTTATACACTAAACAATAAATCAAATGAATACTTGACAGATTGATGCACGAAGACAGTAACAGTAGCCAGAACTGACTCAGGTAAATGTTGATGTGTGACGTACAATGACACAAATCAGACATATCTGACACATACAGAACAGTGGAAGACAGTAATGTTTATTTCATATGTGTGTGTGATTCACATATTCACTCTGATATATTGCGTTTTGGTTATTACTGAAGCAGACGTGATGTCACAAGTGTAAGCAGCAAACTAGTATTGATAAAATAAGCGTGTACAGACATTAGACTTCCTGGTTCACAGTCACATTAGTCACGTCCTGATCATTTCCCGAGGCAGAGGAAGGTGAGACAGCAGACATATATCATGACACCTGTAACTCAGACACATTTACAAGGGTGCATGAGTCAGTCTGTCCCTGTTTAGACAAAGTTACGCTGGGTTTGTCTGAATCACAGTTACACACAGGCAACAGTTGTACATGAAACATCTGGGCAAAACTAATTTAACCTGGGGTGATGTGTTGAGCGCCTGTCAGATCACTGTGTGTAAACTACAGTATCTGATTTTCACTTGACTTCTAAAGTCATTATCCCCAACAGCTGCTTTCCCAAGACTGTGCACTTTAAGAAGAGGTCATCTTAGAAAAACATTTTGATTTCTGTTCTTATAGATCAGTAAACCAGACAAGAAAAGGCTGTTTACTTTGGAACAAGGCGACGACTAAATGTAATGTTTTGTTGACCTGTCTGAGACTAAACTATTATTGCCCCGTAGTCTGGAATCATCTGGCTGAGAGCCTTCCTCTCATAAATCACTTAAAGGCCAAACTTTTATCAGAAGCAACATTATTATAATAGCAGGACAACAGGAGCATATTGAGGAAATCATATTTCTCCTACAGGGAGTGATTAACTTAGAGTGTCCGTTGCTTTGATCAGTAAAATTATGATGTCATTTATACGGGAACAAAGCAGGAAAAGGGATGATAAGATTAATATAAAGGATAAGGGAGTCAGATTATGGCAGCAGTGGCGGGGGTGGAAGGGAGCTGGTTGGAAAACAAGTAGGGGGTTTTCACATCAGGGACGTGAGCCTGCATCCGAGCACACTTGACCCCAAAGTCCAGCTCGTTTGAGTAGTGTGAACACTGTATCAGAGATATTGGCTAAAGCAAGATACCCCACGGTAGGCTTATCCAATGTTAAGAAAATGGTTACTCTTCCTGTCTCCTAAGTGGGCGTGGTTAGCTTTCCCTCCAATCAGAGCCTGTTCTCCCTCAATCCCCCCTCCCCACCACCGTGTTGAACAGAGGCTCTGTGGATGTCTGTGTATACGGATCGAGAAGCAGGTGGAATGAAAATACATTCTTCCTATTATTGCAGCCTATTGCTGCACAAAGCTTGGGCATTTTTTATTTATTACTAGCGGTAAATAACTGTTTGTAAGCTAACTGTGATTTTACCGCCTGTTTATCAAGATCACGAGATCTCGCAAGAACTTGTTTTCTGAGACGGACAGGGCTCAAACAAAGTTAATTTTCTCTTGATCTGTGAGGATGAAAAATGCAGCTTTAGTGTCAGAATGTTGGTAAGATGTGTGGCTTGTGGAAAACGAACCCAATATTTACTTTAGTGACTATAGGGCGAAAGAATTGACCATAAATTGTGATTATGTTCATTTTCCTCATTGACGACAATACATTCAGAGGTGCCGCAAGTCTCCTACGGGGGCGTGGCGCTGACGTCACTGAATCAGGAAGTGAGCTGAGTGGGGTATCTCGCTTTATCCAATATCTCTGGCTGTGTCCAGTACCCTAGTATGATACACTGATCCGTACTTGGTCTTAGATGTGGTTCATGCGTACTCCAGTACAGTACATCTCAAGTGTGAACACCAACTGTACCAAAACACAGAAGTGAACAGCTATTTAACGTGACTACAAGGTTGTGAAACAGTCTTTGTTTAATACTGATGCATCTGTATCAGACCGCAGCACATCCCGCTGCAGACGGACCCAGATCCGGCTTTGTTGCCACTTTCGACTCTGTGCATGACAGCAGCGGCTCCTCCTCCAGCCAGGAGCAGAGCCTCGCCTCAAAACAAAAATATTGTGTACATGATGATGCAAGTGTTCTTTGGTATGGAACAACATAATTAATGTTTAAACTGAGCCGCAGGGGAGTGGAGAGGGGCGGCAATCATACTCAGGCACGGTACGACTTAATCGTACCTAATATAAAAACGCCCTTAGCGTTTTTTTCCTTGTCAGCTATCATGTTTTTCCTAGATGATGTTCCAATATTTAGGCATGCTATTACCTTACCTGGCTTAAAAAAGTGCACATAGCTGCTGTAAATGGGAAACAAATCTCCCGGGGGGCATGCCCTCGGACCCACCTAGGTTTGGGCTGATCCCTGAATGTTTACAACGTCTGGCTCCATCCCTGTTTGGCAGTGGAAAGATTGAGGACATCTCAGGCTGCTGGGCCTCTTTACTTTTCTAATAGGCTGCTGTGTTGGTTGTAGTTTTATATTTAATAGAGTAGAGCTTCAGATTTACAGGTATATCTGTGTCAGAGGACTCATTTCCACTCAGTAAGATTTTATTTCTGATAAAATCAATATAAAAAATCAAGCGCTGTCTGAACTCTCCCGTGTGGCATGTTTCCTGTGAGAGGCTGCTTTAAAATGCTGCCATTGTCTGTGAGAGCTGCAGCAGCAGAAGAAAACACACATCGCGCAGACATTGGAATTCATGGAGTTTATCTTCATGTGACGCTGATGTGTAACCCGTTACTGACTGAGCTAGATCTCGTCTTCAGGGCTGTGTTCATGTGCTGAGCGTCTTCCCCACAGCTTCCCTCCCTCACATGTAACCACCAGCCATAAGGTCACCCAGATCCCACATTTTCACTGATGATGTTTGCAGTGACTCAAGTGTCAGGGTTTTCCACAGTGAACTCAAAGGAAACAAACTCTGATTAAGCTCAGAGAAGATTGTACGATGGAGTTTAAACTCAGCTTCACCTGAGTGGAGCCTTGTTGTGTTTAGGTTTTATTAAATCTAACACCCTGTTCTGTGGCGTTTTATATTGTCGAGGAGTTTGTAAATTAAGTTTTTCAGGACTCTCGTAAAAGATGATGGACATTCAGATGCCGAGGTGTAATTAAAGTGGTAGTAAAGTCGGGTGGAGGAGCTTCTGTTAACGAACACGAACTCCAGGCCTGTGTTGCACTTAATGAACTAAACAGTCAGAAGGTCATATGGCGGCCTCTCTAACGCCACTAATCCCTTCTCTACTCTTCTATTCAAAGCCCTGGCTGCCTTGTATATTGCTCATTTAATCCCCTCCATGGCAACCAGGAAAAGCATTTTTCTTTTCTCCTGGCCACCACAATTATTTAAATATCCACAAAAATAATCAGTTGGTGTCCCACTTTCTTTTTGTTGCGGGTCATCTGTCTGAATGGTACTCAAGATCTGTGGACACAAAAAGACAAAAAAGGGCCAGTTGGAGAAAAGCTTCTTCCAACCAAACTACTCCAACCACTATCACTTAAAAATAGATTTTATCAGCTTGTTGGTAGCTCGGAGGATGATGATTATCAGTTGTTGCAGCCCTGAATCTGACATGTGGCAATAGTTTCCTTTGTGCGTGTGACAAACCTGCTGGACAAGCCATGTCTACTGTTGTCTGTTGTTGTGGCACCTGTGCACCTGCCTACTTAGCTAAGAATAA